CACGGTGCCACCTCAGTCTCAGGAGGTGCCAGTGGGTATAACCACGAGGCCGGTGGGTCTGGGTGCAACCCTGGGCGACGAAACCACTGCGGCTTCCTCTTTTTGTCCTTTTTTTTGGTTTTCCATACCAGGAAAGGCATCTTCTCCCCCAGCCCCCAGCACAAGGATGAGGCCTGCAAGGGTGGGTTTTGCCTGGGAGGTGGGGAGCGATGGGTAGAAGTCAGCAGTTGGAGCTGGTGGCACTGGGGCACCAGTGGTGGCCTTGGTGGTGCCCTGGGGCTAAGGAGCAATGGGAATAAGGTGCTTTTCCTACCTAAATAAACAAATACATAAATAAACCAGGTGCCAGTCTGTGATTGGAATCTTCAGTGCTCGTGCCCTCCGTGAAGGCTGGGGTCCCGGAGGGTCAAGAGTCCCCCCCAGATGCCCCCCCTTGCTGACCCAAAGGAGCCTCTGTGATCCTGGAGACCTGTCAGCAGCACTGACCCCCGCCCCGTGGGCACCTTCTGGGTGGCACTGGAAGTTGGGGGGTGGTAGGGCTGACTGAGTGGGCTCTGCCCCTCCGACGCAGTGGGGTCCTTGGGGGGTCCCTGGGCATGGACACGCAGCCATCCACCTGGCCCACCCCTGGCTGCCCGGTCCCAACTCCTGTTCCTCATCCAGGACACTGAAGCATTTTTTTTCCTTTGTCATTTGATATTTGGGGCATTTTTTTTTCAGGGGCAGTCGGAACAATTAAGAAAAAAAAAAAAACAAAAATCAGCATTATTTGATGGGGAGCACCCAAAGCTCTGGAGATTACAGTCCCTGCAGCCAGGAAGAGCTTTCTGGAAGATGGGTACCCAAAGCAAAAAATAAAAACCCCAAGAAAATAATAAAAACCCAACAAAAAAAGCAGCAGGTCGCTGCAAAAGCTGCATGGGGGTTACAGAAGCTGATTCCTGCACGAGCACGGTTTGCTCCTGAGCCCCCATCCACTGAGTGGCTGGGAGGGGGCACTTTTGGGGCGGTGCAGGTTGCTCTGCCCTCTGCCATGGCAGGGGGTCCAGGAGGGGCAGGATGGGGGTCAGATTTCTGTTGAAGTGTTTTGGCCACGGGCCTGTCTCCCGTGGCACGCCGGCGTAGCACTCCGGTGTAAGGCAGAAATCCAGGGTGGCTGGATGGAGTTTAGGAGTAGTTGCATCCATACAAATAGATCTGTAAATATATCTATCAAAACACACCTGAAAATAAATATATATAGATTAAAAAAGCCCCAGCTCCTCATGTTCAGGAAAAAATAATTCCGTTTACTTTCCCGGACCGAGAGCTGATGGGCTTTTCTAGGATAAGGTGTGACATTTTTTCCCCTATGTTATCTGGATGGGAAGAAACTGATGCTTGAGCCTTCTTGTACAGTATTTAATAGTATCCCAACTGGAATATTCTGCTCATCTTCTCTAGGTAAGTAAAAACAGGGTGAAGGGGTTGTACCGCAGGGCTGTACTGGGAGGTGGGGACTGGCTTTGATGGCTGCATCTCCAGCTCCGTGCTCACGCAGGCTGCTGGTGCCCCAAACCTGCTGCACCCTTGGACACAGCTTCTCCTGGCTCTCTGCAGCAGCACCCTGCATTTGCAATCCCCTGGGTGCATCTGCAGTGGCTTCCAGGCAGGAGTGGGGCACCAGGAGTGGGTGACAGCCCGAGGAACAGGGACTTTTACCCCTTTTGCTGAAGGACAGAAGATGATAATGGTACCAGGGCGCCAAAGCAAACTGGTTCAGCGTTTCCAGCTTGAAAAGAACAGAATCCTTCTGATGCAAGACACAACAACTGGATGTATCTTCCACCCTTTCTGTTTTTGAGTGCTTTATTCCTTCCCTTCCCTGACATTACTATTTTGGCAGCAAAGACCTCTCTCCACAGCTGCCTGCTTAAGATAACACGCCGATCCACGTTTCATTTTAAATAGACACAGTGGCAATATTATCCCAAGACAAAGATAAGGCTCTCTCCTCCTGCGTGCCGATCTCTGCATTCCGTTTCCCTGCTTTCCTAGACCTGCAGGAACGTGTACAGGAGCCTGTGAAGCTGTGAGGGAAAAGGCACAGGGAAAACTTAACAAGTAAGGCTGCACCGTGCTTAAAATTTGCCACGCTAATGATGGAGACAATTTTGGTTTCCTTCAGTGTCTGCAGAAGAAATAATGAGGCACAATCATTTGATTTGGGGGGGGGGGGAATAAAAAAACCCAAGTTAACACCCAACATGCACACTTGCTCCGTATGAAACCACACGAACATTTATTTCTATGGTTTATCTGTTTATAAAAGCTCTTTCAGTGCAGAGGTTTAGGTGTTCTCCATGTAATGGTGCTGGAATTCACCTTCACCAGATGGAACACCATCTGATGCTCCCTCACCACATCCAGATCAGAAAGCCAAAGGCAGATTTCTTAAAAAAAAAAAGTCTCCCTTTCATTACATTTTCACAGAAATATATATATAAAATATATAAATTTTACTAATACTACACATTTACTTAAGTTACGGATTAGTTTATATTTCCTTTAACTACTTCACACAACGAATAGGAACAAAAAAATACTGTAGCCCAAACAGGAGCTGAAAATAACAATGTAAAAATTCCAAACGTGTGACAAAAACGTACTTACATTAAATATCATGAAGAATTTCAATACCAGCAGTAGAATTTCATTTAGCACTTGCATTCTGGCAAGCTCTAAGCCTTGGGTGAATGACTCTTGGAAAAAGCTCGTATTGTTTCTGCTCATCAAAGGCAACAGTATTGTGATTTGGTTCACAGGAGACCATTTTATTGCCAACTTGAAGTGTTCCAAAAACACGCCACCTTTTCCGCTTGTTTCTTTTTCTTTTTTCCTTCCCCCCTCCAAACTAGGCAACGGTTTAAAAAAAAAAAAAAGTGTAATTACAATTTCAATAGTGATTTCTTTTAACTTCTCAAGCATATCTCATTCAACAGGATATACAGTACAGTTCAGAAGAGTAAACATTTTTAAAAGTAAGCAAACAACTTTTTCAACCAACATACACAATTTCTTGCTGTATTTATGCTGAACTCTCCTTTTAACATGGACAAGTTATGAAGTTAGTTTTCTTCTTCAGTACAACATGGACACAGGACTAGTACAATCCGGGCTGGTTTTGTTGTTGTTGTTGTTGAAGTTAAGGACAACTCTAGTGTGGAAGCCATGGTCCTGCCATCCATCTCCCTTCATCATCTCGCATAGCGCTTAATGTAATCTTCAACTTTATTCCGAAAGTCCTCCTAGGGGAAAGCACAGTCAGAATTACCCCAAGCATGTCAGAGAGGGACTCACAGAGCACTATGGGGCTGATGGATTCCCAAATTAGCACTGGGAGGGTCAAATTTCCATCAAGCGAAAGGCCTGCCGCTCTCCCTGAGAGTCAGGACGTGTTTCTGATGTGGTGTAGGAGAACTGAGGCCACCACTCGAGTCCTTGCAAGCAGATGTCTGTGCTCTGTCCCCAGTACTCATCCTGGCCTCCCCCTGGTAACTGCACAGTATCACAGCTAGCACATAATCACAAAAAAAAAAAAAAATCATATATTTATTATAGCCTAGAGGATTAAAAATTCATCATCCAAATCACTCGTTTGTTAAAGTGGTTCAGAGGGAATGTTTTACACCTCCACAGAAAACCTGCAGGACTGTTGCACAACCTCTGCATCCGTGGAAAAGCACAGGTTTCTGGTAGTTTATCTTTATAAAGCACGGAGATGGAGAGCGAGAGAAATGCTGACATACTTTCCTCATTTGGTCCTTGTCCAAGCTGGGATATCAGACAGATGCTACATTCCTGTAATGTTATTCCGAGCCTGAACCTTGCCTCGCACGCTTACAGCCTGTTATTAAATATGTTCAACGCAAACACACCAAGTGGCCTGGATTCGAGTGGGGCTTTCACAGCAAAGTACATTTTGCTTCATTTCCAGCTCCCAGTTCTGCGTGCTGGCTAGAATATAAAGCAGGAAAACCTGGGAAATTTATGTACTCAAGTCTGTTAAAAAATAAATTGGGAAAAAAAAAACAAAACAAACAACGATGCACAGAACAGATGAAGGTTTTGAGCAGGGCCACGGAAGCACTGAAATCCGCTGCCCACCGAGCCAAGGCTCTGCTTTTCCTAGGAAGGGCACAAAGTCTCGCTGCCACGACCTGAGGGATGGCAGCAAGGCATGCTCCAGCTTTAAATAAGAGTGGCTCCAGTTTGCCAGTACGTAGAACGCTGCCCTTGGAATACACAGAGTGTTCTGGCACCGTCCACTCAGCAAAGAGCTAAATGAAAACAAGTTTACAGACAAAGCAGCAGTTCATGAATTTAATGCCCCCTGTAAATCATGGCTGTTTGTTGTTCAAGGACTTTAAAATCAGCTCTTTTTCACTTTTTTGCTAATGGTAGAAAAAAGGTGAGCACCGCAATATGCACCATGACTTTGTACTAATGCTACTAAGAAGGTCTGAAGAGCGGAGAGTCGTCGCTTTTAACTCTGAAGCTTGTTTTAAAACTGGGGGCAGAGCTGTGC